TGTTTACTAAAAGCCAAGACATCCCAAATAATTAAATGAGATTCTGCAGTTTTTTATTTTATTTTTTTATACATCAAACACTTCTAACTCACCATGAAGTCCTTGAGGAACGAGCAAATAAACATAAACCTGTGACTGACTTGTTCCGTTCTGTCACGGTTGAAAATGAAGTTAGGTGAGTTTTAAAATTCATGAAGGTAAATTTCATTACGCTCGTCACCTTTTGCAGAACCGATTCCCTGTTTTTATGCCAAAAAAAAAAAAAAAAGACAAACATGTAAGCAATCGGCGACACTGAACACAAGCGGAAACATCCACAAATCCCCCCTGAGTGGCTTCCATTCACAAGTGGTAACTGAACTACATGTTTTCTTCATGTGTTCAAAGAGGGGCAAAAGTTGAGGACAATAAATTCTGAGAGAGATGATGATGAAACGATGGTGTAACCTTTACTAACGTGCCGTACTTGCACTTGGCACGCGGTGTCGACTTTTCTAACTTTTCAACTTAATGTACAACATTGAATTAATCTGGCTCTTGTTTCTTTTTGAAAAACTGTAAACATCTTACATGAAGACTAGTTTGATCTGGTGCTRTTTACACCAACTAAATTGGCTTGTTAAGTTCAGTTTTGCTGTTTCAACAACTTGTAGKTTATGTCGTTATGGCTCTGAGACGCTGAGCCTGCCGGATTATCTGAAGCCAGCAGCAGACAGAAAGGGGCTTTTGTGTGTAAAGAACGTGTCTCTTTCTAAATAATGACAAAATAAATTGCTCCTAATAGAGGAGACAACAGGGAAAGGCAGCCATCTCACCACAAGCAGCACCTTGGATGTCTCTCCTGTGACGCACAAACAGGAAGCCCTCAGTGGGCCAATTAACACAGACAGAGCGAGCAGTCAGCGATTTCCTGTGAGACCTGCCAACTTCACCAGCTACTACTATCTCAATCTGGTTTCCATTACGACCAGGGTTATCTAGATTGCATCAGACAGCCTTTTCTACAAATCTCCCACTTTCTTATAGAACACATAGTGGCGTTTTGCTGAACAGTTTTCCAATAAAAAAGGAAATGTCCCTTTAAATACATTCTGATGAAACAGATTAATGTCCTAAACTTTTGTCTTCTACTCAGAAACTTGTTTTACTTTGTGTGCAAATAGCTCATGTCTGTACACGAGTCCAGGTCAGCAGCTCAGAGACTTCCTGGCAGACAAATCTATTACAGGCTCATCAATATGTAAATTGAGCAGAACTGTAAATATTTTTTTTTGGCAAAGTGATAATGTTACAGAGATGCAACTCAGCAAATAAGATGAAGAAGTGGTTGGGCAAGGAGGGGAGGACTTTTAGAGAGGCATAGGGAAAACATAAGGTGAGAGAACAGGAGAGAGAGAGAGAGGGATGCAAATCCCATGGCAACAGCAACCAGAAAACAAGTCTAAAATAGGGGGCAGTGTCCGCTATCGCTATAGCAACAGGAGAACAATACACTCGCTCCGCTCCATCACTTGCTGAAAGAAGAAAAACAAAGCTTTAATTCTACCACAGCTATAATTGATGGTCCTTGACAGTGATTTTATTAAGCTCCGTCAGCTCTGTCTTGCTGAATTAGCCACATAAAATAAAACATTTCAAAGCACACTAAGAAGATAGTCAACTACCTTAGATCCTGTTCAGTATTTATTTTGTCTTGTACCACACTGACAGCCTGAATGTTATTTTAAAAATATGCATATAAATAAACTATACCTACACAAGATGCAATTACACCAGTGCAATAGCAATAGTATTTTTTTTCAGAGACAAAAAGGGATCAAATTATYATGTTTTTAAAATGTCAGGAACTATTGTACAATTAGTCTTTTTGACACATGATTATATCACTTCAAACCATGCTGTTCGTACAAGATAAAAAAATAAGTTTGTGAAAAATGTGAATCAAAAACAACTTCTGAGTCTGAAAAACTACTCCGCCTAACTCCACACCCGGTTTGTTTACATGAAACATGTGCAGAGTCTGCACTGCAGGAAAAAAAAAAAAAAGACATCAACACGCTGACGGCTCGCCTTGCCTACCGCCGTCCAATCATATTACAGATGGAGCGGAATCCAACCAATCACAGGACGCCCGTCTGGGCCAAACAGCCAATCAGATTAGGCGCACACCACTGATGCAATGGACATGCAACAGCTTCCCTACCGAACAACAAAGTGTGTTATGAATCAAGTCGTCCCTCTACAGCACAATACGATGCCTTGTGGTAAAGTACAGTGTCTTGCTTGTTAAAAATAAAGTCTCCCAGCTGCAGGTTATGGACATTACCGAGCGGCTGCATCACGCTGGGCTCTAAAGGACGCGACTCCGCCTCGTGTCTAGCCTCGACAAGCGGAACGCGTTACAGTAATGTGATTACTCCATTTTGAGAAACGCAAGTGGAACCAAAACAAATGCATTATTTCCTATTTTAAACCTTTATTTAATTATTGGCACTACATCTGTTTTAGTCCCTTTTCTCTAAAATGTGTTTTTAATAAACTATAAAAGTGTAATGGTTAATAATGGTAATAGTTCGCTTTTATCGCTATATTATTGGTTTAGAACACACCGGTGATAGAAATTAAACTTTTAAAACAAGAAGCAAGTATCTCACTACTTTTATTTCATCTGTTCCAGCAGGAGGGAGCGAGTGGGACGTCCTTCGGTGGTCCAGGGAGGCAGGGAGGGAGGKGCGGAGGGATCTCTGCATCCCGAGCAACAACACTTTCCTCCCTGTGACGCAGTTGGTTGCTAGGTGTGAATGAACCGATGCTTTGTCTCAAACTCCTCCTCAGTTTACAGGTCGACCACAACAAAGCAGCATCCCGTCCTGTTTGCATCGTCCCGGCTGATCGGAGCTGGATTATGGCTCTGTGATTCTGTCGAGTTGTTGGACCCCTTAAAAAAGCCGTGCTTTGCTTCTGCAACGCACCCCCAAGTGCTCTACAGTTTTCTGCAAGAATGGAGTAAGTCAAACTCTACTTTTCTTTGTCATCTTGTTTACAGTTCACACGTCTTTGTTAAGTGGCTATTTTTTTTTACTTTATTATACTTTAAGCCATGTTAATAGCTGCTTAACATCTGCTTTTCTAATCATGTTTTGTTTGTAAGTRCATGCCACTCTTTCATTTTTTAAGATACTTCATTGTATTTCCTAAAAAGGCTATAGCCCCCCATCTTATTAACCTGGCTGGATATATAATTTCACAACTTCAAATGTGATTTAATTTTGCTTCATTTTCTAAGTGTTAAAAAAAGTTAAGAAAATAATGAAAAACTTCAAGAAATCAGCTGTAGCCTCCAGGGAAGAGCTCTGGTATCGACGTTGTAATCTGAGCCACTTATGTGATCAAACAGAGGCGATTCATTTCAAAGAAACTCGGATTAAAAGCATCAGATCTGCATTAATCCAGTTTAACCACCAGGGTGCCTCTCACTTAAGAGACRTGGTTACTGTGGAGCTTCATATCAACAGCTGGGCCCTTGACAGCATCACTGTTGGGTCCCACGTGTTTTGGAGACACGATGTTCACTTTGCTTTGAGATGGTTTAAAGTCCAGAGGACAAAACTTCTCCTTTGGTATCACTTATTGTTCCAATTCGATGGATATGGTTGTTTTATTCAGTTTCTTTAGTGGAAAAGATTTGATATACATCTATGTAGAAAAGTTAAATATAAATCCCAATTATGCACAACTTCTACATTTATAGATGTTTTTTTTCATTATTCATTGTTGTATGTCAAAACATCTAATAGTGCTGATGAAGCCACTTGCTGAGGGCTGCACAGACTGTTATTTGTACCATCAGTTGACAAAAAAAGCTGGGTCTTTGGAAGTGGCGCAGCTCTCTGATCCCTGTTTTTCTGTTTACCCTCCAGGTTTCATTATGCTCACCCTGCCCTGCTCTCTGTGGCCCATCTGTCAGACCCCGCTCGCTCCCAGCACATGCTCGGACTTGGACTGAATCAAAGCACCAGCAGACAAAACGATGGCAACGTCGGCTCATGTTTGGAAGACTCTTCGTGTCTGCCCGGCAGACCCCCTCGCTCTCTCTCACCCACAGGCTAGCCACAGCCAATCACAGGGGTGCAGGGGGGAGGTGTCAGAGGAGAACCAGCACTTAATTGGTGAGTTGCCGCGAGTGCGTTTTTTTATATTTTTCCCCATTTCAGGTGGGCTCGGCACTGCAGCAGATTCGTCCTTCTCGAACAGTAAGTAAAAAACTAGCTACGTCTGCTATATCGATTTTTGGACAACTTTATTGAGAAAAGCTTTGCTTGTACGACGGCCAACCAGAAGGTGTTAAAACAAAACTGCTACTTGAACTGCTAACAACTAATATTTTTTATTTGCGTCATTTAATTTTTTTCTTTTTTTGCTGAAACAAATTTTTTTATCAATCATCTCGTAACGAACGTTGTATTTCCGTCCCCTATAGGTGATGGTCTCACTGACTGGATGACGGAAGAAGTGGATTTCTCCTCGTACCTCCCAAACCCTCCTTCCCCTCCCTCCTCCACCAATGCCTCCCTTCCCCCTTCGCCCCTCCAGAATGATATCCAGGTGCCCTCTGACTTGGAGGTCATGACCTCACTGCTGCAAGAGGAACTCGCCCAACTAGAGGACTACTTCCTGTCTGAACCGCTGCCAGAGAAAGGGCAGAGGTTGGGAAAATGCGACAGGGGTCCACTGCCGGCGGGTCCTCAGCCGTTCACTCAACTGCCGTACGCATCGTATTCCACGTCCAACCAATCGGAGTCCAATCCCCTTCTTGTTACCCTGGCAACCGGAGAGCTGGACCTGCTGAGTATCTGTGGTGGGCCGATTGGGAGATCCAAAATTCCCAGACACGCCCCGTACAGCTGCAGTCGCCCCAGCGGTAGGAAAAGAGTTGTTGACGGAGTTCGGTTCAGCGAAGGCTATGACAACAGTTTGTTGAGTTCCAAAGGAAGTAACTCAGGTAACTCTGCCCTCACAGGTAGTTATGGTTGTGTGGAGGATAACCAGCTGGTAGGGAAAAGTTACTGTCTGGGTAGTGCAATCGAGGTTCGACGATGTGCCAGTTTATCCAAAGAGGAGAAAAATTGCTGTTTTACCCAAGATGTGATAAACGGCACAAAGGTTGTCGGTGGCGGTTTCGGCTTCGGTGGTCCGCTCGACGCCCCGCATAAGAAAGAAGATGTTTTGATGTTTAACATGAGGGAGGTCGGCGGAGGCGCCAGCAACAACGAGGTGCTGAGCAGCGTCAAAGCTAGCGTGGAGGTGACGAAAGCCACGGTTTCGTGGAAAGCCGACAGCGGCGAGGGTTGTTACCTTCCAGCGGCGCCCCAGTCTGAGGCCTATCACAGCTTCTTAGGGAACATCAACGAACAGGTGAAGGCGGAGGGTCTCCAAATCCTTCAACCTGATTTGCACTTTAATTATCTTGAGCATCAGGCCCCAGAATGTTTCTTGATGGCTAGAGAGAGCTTGAACCTGGACTCTCCAGGGCACAGACAGGCATGCAGGCTGAAAGAAGACCACTGTGCTGTGAAATACGAAGTGGACATCGTGCCACATGAAGGCGGGGAGCGAAAGCAAAAGAAACGAGACCAGAACAAAACAGCCGCTCACAGGTAACTTCTAAATTTTACTTAATGAGAAATAATCAAACATATATATTTTTAAGTAGATTTTCCCTCAATCTTTTATTATTATTTTTATTGCTTAATGCAGGTATCGCCAACGAAAAAGGGCGGAGCTAGATTCTTTGGAGGAGCAACTGCACTGCCTCGAGGGAAGAAACCGTGAGCTACGCGACAAGGCGGAGTCCGTGGAACGTGAAATCCAGTACGTTAAAGACCTGCTGATCGAAGTTTACAAGGCGCGTAGCCAAAGGCTCAAGCAGGACACAACGGCGTAACGTCGCGCTCCAGCAAAAGTTTTGAAAATCGAGCATCGCGGGAAAAAAAAAAGTTGTAGTTTTGCGCTTTTAAATTTGTTTTAAATTCAGTGTTTTGTTTATTTTTGTTCTGGTAAGAGGGCAACTGCATGCTTTACTAATGTGAATATTCTTTTCTACACTTTTAAATCGACCCTTTCCAATGCTTCCATTGTTTTTTTTTTTCAATCTGAGATCACTTGAGCCTTCACTGTGGCATTGCAACGCTTTAACTGACAATCATTTTTAGCAGATCTTCCTTCTTTTGAATGTATTTTATTTATTTATTTATTGGGAAAGTTGTATAATTTTAAAAAGCAGGTTGTATATTTTAATAGCCTTACACTAAAACTGATGTCAGCAATAGAACATTTGATTTTTTTTCTATTTCTATTTTATTTTTAAATCACTGTTTGCCCTAGGTTGGATTGTAAAATATATTTTGGTGTTTCATCATTTCAGTTTAATTTTAAAAGTTTCAGTCTTCCTTGGCAAAGTTGAAACATTTTCAAAATTGCTGTTGCATATAAATATATTGAAGTTTGACAATCGCAGATAAGAACTTTAATGTGAATAAAATATTAAAACCAGCTGTTTAGTTTTATTACAATTCATTTAATTGGCTTTATTTAGTTTATATGATTCAGAAGATTTAAGCCAGCTTTGTTTCCTTTAAATGTGCTAAAACTTTTTGGTGCTTCAATGTAACAAAATAAATCACAGCAACATTTTACAGCAGCAAGAGCACTTATGTCCTATTTCTTTGTGACCAAAATAAAAAAATGAATTCCTAATTATTTTGAACTAACATCTTATTGTGTTTTCATATAAATGAATATTTGCAGCTCAGGATACAGTTTGTCTGATCGGTGGCAGGAGGTTACAAAGTTGAAGCTTGTCTATTTTTTTTCATCTTTCTGATGTTTTTGTTTCAAAATGTCTGTGCAAACGTGACTTCCTGTACTTTAGCAGTCTCCCTTTGCATGCTTTTTCTCTATTTCTCCTTCTGAATTAGATTCAGAAACAAGTGGAGGTTTTTTTTCTGCTTAAGGCAATAACTTTTTTAGGCCTCATCTGCACTGATTTGTATGAAGTTTTTATATGTTTACGGAGTGAAGTGTGTTAAGCTTTTTCTATAAAAGTTAACAAAAAAAATCCCCCCCACCCCTTCAATGGAGGCAAATGATGCCTTCTGAATATTTTTGCAGGTTTTTATCTAGAATTTAGCAACTGCTGTAACTTTATGTTGATAGGATGTTTTTATTTATTTATTTTTTTGCTGACAATCTTGAATATTAATTCTGGTTTATGTTCGAAATGTTTTTTTTTAGGTAAAAGTTCCCATCAGGATGTTTGAACCCACTGCGGTGTACTATCAATAAAGATCGATTTGACCAAAATAAAAGTAATTTTCCTCAGATAGAGCTAACATGTTTCTTTTATGTGATGTAAATTTGTTTCCCTTTAAAATAATAATGAAAAAAATAAAGTGTATCATTAACTTGACCAGCGTGCTCGGTTTAATTTCTGACCTGGACGGAAAAGTCCAGAAATTTTTTTTCTTGCGCTTAATCAAAAATTAAAAACTATAAATAAAAGCAGCAAATATTTTTAATTGTGTTATAAATTGTAAAGTTAAAATATATAATACTTTAGGGCCYGAAGGATGCTGGAATGAGCTTCTTTAAACACTCGGGTTTAGTTGTTTTGAAGCAAAAAGTGGTTTGAAAGAATAAGTCAAGTCAGGTTAGGATGCTTTATATTTATTTTATCAACATATAAAAAAAAATCTGAGTTTAAAGGGTGTCCAAAAGGCAACAGCTGTAAATTTTTATTTAATTGTAGTCACTTGGATAAATCCGCCTTGAACAAGAGGGAAACGTGAACGCAACAGAAACAATTTTACCCTAGGACTTGCCACTAAATAAAATCAATCATCTTCTTTTATTTTAAATAAAAACAGACTTCATTGAGCTTTCAGCGTTTTATTACATGTTTTTTCACCAGAAAATATGTAAGAAAACAGGAAGTAATTATCTTTAAAGTAATAATGGTAAAGATCAAAGTATGTGATCATAAAAAAAATAGGTTATTTATTTCTGATGATCTGATCTCTGCCAAAGCATCCTGAGGAGCTGTCGGTAGTCACACTGTGGGGCGAGCTGTGAAGACTGAAGAAGTTTCTTACTGGCATCCAGGGAGATCAGKACCTTTAAAGAGACAAAAACAGTTAAAAATATAAACAGTGCAATCATTTTAGCTATCATATTTACAATAAATAAAGATGAGKTTAATTTGTCAGAGTTTTATTCATAAAATAACATTTTGGTTGATTTTGTTACCCCTCTTATTGCGTCCTGCTGGCTGAACAGGCTCAGAGACGTTAYGGCAGCTTGTCTCACTTCAATGTGGGAATCGGCGCACGCGGCCCTGAGCAGAAAGCTGGGCACATCCTCCTCCAACAACACGGACACGGCGCCGTCAACATTCAGCAGGTTCCCCAGCGCTGCACAGCAGTGGCGGCGCGTGACGGCATCAGGGTCTGAGAGCAGACTCGCCAACACGGCCGCCGTCCTTCTGGCTTCCTGTGTCCATCTCTCACCTGMTGCTTCAGTGCGCGGACACACGTGTGCGTTGCGTTTCTTCTCTTTTAAGTTGTTGCAGTTTCCACTTTTAAATCCCGTCTCTGCTGCGATGTAACCCAGCCAGTTCCCCACGGCCCTGCACGCCGTCCTCCGCACCGCCGTGCAGGAATCATTAAGACAATCTATCAAGCGTTTGAAAACATCGAGCCATGGATTATCTGCGGTAGAAGGCGTGAAGAGCTCTAAATTTCCCAGAAACCTGCACGTGGCAGCCCTGATCTGGTCGTATGGGTGAGTCAGCACCTGCTGCAGCACGGGAACCTCGACGTGGACCCGAAGGCGGGCGGGCCGAGCGGTGCAACGCGCCACGTGGGACAACAGGCTGAGGAGCTCCACGGCAGAGTCCCACAGCACGTCGAGCTGCAGCAGGTCTGAGAGGAGGGAGCTGGCGTTTCTGGTGAGGCCGGTGTGACACCGGGAGGCTGGGAGCTGGTGGTCCTCTGGTGGTGTAAAAAAGCCAGAAGCAGCCTCTCCCAGGTGGGAAACGGTGCGCTCGGGATCGCACAAGAACAAACGACTCAGCAGGGACAGAGGGAGCTCCAACTGAGCGGTAGGAAAAGTTTGAATTACCTGAAAAGAAAAACACTTAGAGGAGTGTCAAACAGAAAACAACAAACATCTCAATCTTTCCCCAGATGTATGAAAACATGAAAATGTGAATGGGGCAAGAGTTGTTCTGTGTTGCATCAGTTTATCAGTGGCGCAGGAGAAGGCCCTGACCTGCAGGAGGCTTGCAGCGACGCCGCAGCTGTCGTACATCTGCAGCACTGTGGACAGGCTGTGTGACGGCAGGTCCAGGGCGAAGGGAAAACACAACAAGTGRCAGCTCAGGGAGGACAGACTGGAGCCACTCAGCTCCACCTCTGATCCACCAGCAGGGTCTCTGACACCCCAAACAAGACTGTGGAGCAGAAAAGACGCAGCTGTCAGCTTCGAAGCGCTAACATTTACAACTCAAACGATAAATTAGGTTGATGGAGACATCTGAGCACTGACCAGTCGGGGTTCAGCAGCCGGCTGAGCGTGAAAAGACATTTTGAGCTTCTGTTGGTGAACAGAGGAAGACACGAGTACGGATCCTGGGTGAAAACAAACAGAACGACAGACAGAAAAGAATGCAGTCCTGTGAGGAGAGAAAAACAAGTCAACATTTAGTTCTTAACATTTAAAAGTCCTAACAGAAGCAGCTTTTATTAGATTTGTACTTTTTTACCATTTGCTGAAAAGAAGTTCTCATTAGATGTCGCGCTTCCGAGCGAAGAAGCAGCCGTTTTCCACAGATCCACAAAAACAAGAGAGTTTAAACAACTCGATGCTGAAGCGTTTTCATGCTGTGGAAAATAAGGAAAACAGGTGTGACAGACGACGGATACGGCTGCCTGTGAAATCCGTTTAGGTTTGATCACATTTTGGTCGCTGTCTAACCTTGTAAAGAACGTGCAGAAGTAAAGAAAGGAGGCCGTCGTACAGTCCCCAACCAGACGGGAATGAAATCTGTCAATGTAGAGAAGAAGAATGCAAAACCACTGCAAATCATTTCAAACTTTTTGTAAAAAATAAAAATTAATACCTCATATGAGTCTGACAGAAGAGTTTTCAGCAGGGAGGTTAAAGTCTCCAGATCAACAGAAACATCAACGCCGTGTTGTGTGAAGAGAGATAAAACTGAAGCAGCTAATGGCTAAAAACAATCACACAAAATTCAGATTACTTGATCACAAACAAGAAACACAGAAAAATATGCAAAAAAGTATATGAGCACACATGAAGAAAATAAAAACAGCACTGAAAATAMATGTCACGACTTCATCTGCTTTAAAATGAGTTTCAAACTTGCTTTATACTGTTGTAAAACATTAACTGTATTTCCTGAAAAGGCTGTAGACCCTCATAAACCTCATGCTGATTTAAAAATAATTTACTGACATTTTAAAGGCACAGTGTGTAGGATTTTGTCAATTCTTTTAGCCGAAATTGAGATAATCACTAATGACAATAATAAAAAACATGTCTAATCATTGCAGACAAAGACCTTGTTTTATTATTTTTACCTTATAAAAAGCTGTTTATATCTCCATGGTCGCGGGTCGCCACTACAGGCAGCCGCCATCTTGCACCGCCATCTTGTCTACGAAGGCTCATGAAGGACAAACTGCGGTGGCGGCGTCAAAAACGGTTTTAGTTGWAAKACTATRAATGTAATATYTGTTGTCTGTCATTGTAGCTGGGATAATTTTACTTATTAAAGCTCATAATCTTACCACTTGAAACATCACTAGCCCTGAAGCTGCTGGTAGACATCGCGGTTGGAGTTATCAAAGGTTTTTGACACCTGAGAGACACCGTAGCAACTCCTTTGTTTGGAAGCAGGGGGTTGGGGTGGGGAGAGGATCAGGGAGGATGATTCAACCACTCAACTACTAGAAGTCACTGAAAACAACAAATCCTACACACTGTGCCTTTAACACTGAAATGCAATGAGAATAATATTTTTTTTAAATTTGTTTTAGTATGTTTGTTTTACTTTTACATTAGTCCACATATACATTTTTCAAATTAAAAAACAACTTATTGTCATATTTTAGAGGACCCCCAAGTCAAAACTCACGGTCCCCTGCGGGGTCCTGTGTCTCCAGTTTGAGAACCTCTGTTGTAAACTGTGAAGAACCAAAAAAATGTTGGATACTTACTGCAAGAGTGATGAGATTTGATTGGCTGAGAATTGTGACGAAGGGCTCGGAGAACTCTTCCAGTCTGAAGGATGAGAGCAGGAGGGGAGATGTGGTTTCCAACAAACAAAAACTATCTGAGCAAGACCAAACAAGCTGACCTGGGCTCTTCTTCCACCCAGTCACAGCGAGTCTCCCAGTAGATCAGGACCGATGCAATAGCTTCTCCGAGGACCGGCAGGCTCCACGGATGCTGAGGGGGAGAGAAAGTCCAGAACACTCAGTCCAGAGCACTGCCGCCACTGATGGATGTTGTTCCAGTAGAGAGACTGACCTGGATGAAGTCGGAGTTTGCAACAGAGCGGTGGATCAGGTCGAAGAGGACCCGTGGCAGTTCGAGCTCACAGCTGAGGAGCTTCGACTTTTCAGGGTCAGGAGTCAGAATCAGATTACGCAGGACCTTTAATGGTTGTTGGATGTTTTGCACTTCTTTTAGAACACCAACACTTAGCTGAACAAACAAAACWGATTTTAGGGATATATTTCTTCCTAATGTTCACTCAAACTGCACACCTCATTACCTGAGCTTGAAATGTTGTGATTTTGGATTTAATCTGAGGTACGATGTCACTGTAGTCCAGCTGCTTTCTCTGCTGCCTGCTAGGCTCTGATTCTTGCACAAGATTCTCCCAAAACTCCTCACTGTCAAAATCCTGAAAGAGACCAGGAAATGGCACATTTCTTCTACAGAATGTTTTTTTAATCAATGTGCCGCTGACAGAAAACATATAAGGTTCAGACAACTTGGTCCCTGACCCGCCTGTGCAGCGAGCCTTCGTTGTGTCTCCACGCCAATCGTGATCCGACCTCCACAGAGGGAAACTCCCGTTCGTAGTCTCTGCTGATCTGCCCCCTGCACACACCATCAGTATAAACAAATGTCTCAGGATATTTTAATTGCATTTATTTTCTTGTATTTGTCAAATAAAAATACCTTTGTTTGGATGTTATGTGACAGTTCAGGTTCATGTTTTGATTGGCAGCTGTGAATTGACCCGAGGCATCAGAAGATTCACCACAGGTGGGTTTGAAGGCTCGTTCGTCTCCATCCTTCTTTTTCTGTTGATGTACAGCAAACAGGTTAAAGCTCCTCTGTGACTAAATAAACTCACTTTATTTATTTATTTTTCTTTTTTCTGTCACTAACCGCTAGTTTCTTTTTGTTCTCCATCTGCTCCCTGACCTTCTGCAGTAACCGTCTCTCCCCGGATGTMGGTACGGACTTTTCTGCCACTTGTTTAAGTTTCAGGGCGAGCACGTCTGGGCTGGGAGGGACCGTCAAAGGGCTGAAGATGTTTGAATCTGACAGTACTGCCGACACATCGTTCAAACGTGTGAATACTCTTAAAGAAAACAATTCTTTGCATAGTTTAGCAAAAAAAAGAAAAAAAAGGATGAAATAAAAACGATAAAATATTGGAAGCATCACCTAAAACACCATCAGCAACAAAAGGATGATGCAGGAGGTCGGGCCATGACAAACGTTTCTGTGGGTCTTTGGTTAACAAACCTTTCAGGAAACTCTGCGGAGAATCAACAATAAAAAGAAAAAAAACATAAATATTAATAGTATTTTAGGGCAATTTAACCTGTCATAGYGTCAACTTTTAAAACATCAGGTTTTTAGACATCATTACAGTGAATGGACCAATATTTTTTCCTAAAATATTCCCCGAAGACATTTCTTTTCATGCTTTTTAGGAAACTTGAACAAATATGCCTTTTTTAGATTCCTAACTTATAAAAAAAACTCAGACTTGACTGTTTTACAAACACCCAACTGTACCGTGCAGCTGTCGCTCATCGTGTCTGGCCATTTGATCTGGTCCTTCGTAATCAGCTGCACCAGGTGGAAGATGGAGTTGGTGTAGAACGGAGGCGCCCCCGTGTGGAGTTCATACAAGATGCAGCCCAGAGACCAGAGATCAGCAGTGTGGTCATATGGCTTCTCTTCCACCAGCTCAGGAGACATGTACAGTGGAGTTCCTTTGATGGAGGTCAGGACCAAGGTGGAGACGCTCATGGCTCTGGCAAACCTGCAGAGACATATAGGTGTAASTGAAAAATCTGTCAGCACAGAAACTTTAACGAGAAAAGAAAACCTGCATTGACCTACCCAAAGTCACAGAGTTTCACCACACCACTTTTCCCTAGTAGGATATTCTGTGGTTTCATGTCACGGTGAAGAATGCGATGGGAGTGTAAATAATAAAGAGCYGAGACAAGCTGGCAGGCAATCTCCTGCACCTTGGGAAACAATGAAAAGTCCTTCATGAACATTCAGTCCTGACTGGTGGGAAATGACGCAGCGATGGTGGATACCTGGCTCTCTGGCAACTTTCCATCATCCTCCAGAATCTGGAACAGCTGGCCCTCTGCATACTCTGTTACAACCACAACCTGTTTCAGAAAAAGATAATTAGATTTTGCTCATTATAAAGAAACCAGGTGTGGAAATCATTGAGTTCACATAAGCAGAAGCATTTGTTTGGGTGGCTGCAAACCTCGGTTTCAGTCTCAAAACTGTCAAAGAGTTGGACAATGTTTGGATGGTGAAGACCCCTCATAATCTCTATTTCGCTTTTCAGGCTTCGTAGCTCCTTTTCAGACCGGCCCACTTTGGGCATGAACTTCAGAGCAACGACCTGATGAGAGAAATGAACAGGCTGTGAGACAGCTGAATGAACAGAACATTTAAAACAGCATCCAGAGACAAGCGTACCCGTCCAGTGTATTTCTTCCTTCCCTTGTGAACTCGTCCAAACGAGCCCTCTCCCACCAACTCCAACACGTGATACGAATTCATTTCTATCGAAACAGCTTAAAACATTAAAAACTTACAAATAAAAACAAGAACCCGACTGTTATTGCTAACAACTACAACATTTTATCCACTTTGGGGTGGCGGCAAAAAGCTGTCCTGTGAGACTCAAGTCTAAAAACCCTGGTACAGCTCTCTAAAAAATAATGCCGACATCATACTGCCTGTTCACAAATCGTGTAACAAAATATAATATAGACTGACGTCACTCACATAGAAAATAGTATTAACAAACTTCTGGACTTATAATGCCATATATTCATGCAGAACAAATAATTTATTTGTCGGTTTACAGAGTACAGATAAAGTTAAAACAGGCATCTCATTGGACAACTTATTTGTAGAGGTCCTTAGCCTAGCAACGGATGTTGCGTTCCTAGCAACGCAACAGACTGAAAAGCGGGTCTTACTCGGTTGCCGCCTTTTGACAACTTTAAACATTTTAAAAGGCAACAGAAGGTCTTTTTCTTGCATAAAATATTTTAAACAAATAAAACCTTTAAGTTGGAAAGTCAAAAGTGAAAAAAGAAAAGCAGAAATGCTCAATGACTCCATCCTTATGATGATGATTGATGATGATGATGATGATGATGATGATGATGATGATAATGATGATGATGATGATGATGATGATGATGATGATA